ACTTGCAGAGTGCGTAGAATATCAAATAACGAGAATGAGAATTACAGAATGAAGAAACAATGAAGTAGCGAGGCCTAAATAGGGGAAAACCTAGCTAGGCGGGGAGGTTGGGCGAGGATGGCTCGGTGATGGTTGCGATTGGAACGGAGGCCGACTCGGGAGTGGTTCGGTGTGATGAAATAGGAAGGACAGGTTCGTCACGTGACCCTCGGGATGGCCTCGCTAACGAGTGCCTCAGTAAGGATTTGTAAATCCTTACAGATGCAGAAGACGGGCCCAAAGGGCCCGTCTGATGCATCAGGCAGGTTCTAGCACTAGCGAGGACCCTGGGGTGGGCCAACCAAACCTCTTTTGGGCACCGATACTGTACACAGCGCATTGGGCGTTTTTATCAAGTTTCCTGGCTAGCATGATTTGTTGCACAACTAAATTACTAGTGATGTTACCAGCGGTGTTTGGTGTTCGCAAATGCCAAGAAGTGAGGTCCAAGGCATTGAGTACACGTGGGTGTTGCCATGGTAAGTGTTGGTGGGAAATCTTGTAAGTGCTGGTAGCAGGGTCTTGCGAGCTATGGGAGTGACAAGGAGTGTTATGAATGAACTTGCAGAGTGCGCAGTAAAACGAATAACGAGAATGAGAATTACTGAATGACTGAAATCACAAAGTGACGAGGCCTAAATAGGGGAAGTCCTAGCAAGGCGGTGAGCTTGGGCGAGGATGGCTCGGTGATGGATGCGATTGGAGCGGAGGCCGACTCGGGGGTGGTTCGGCCGACGAAATAGGCCGAACAGGTTCCTCGCGTGACCTTCGCGATGTCTTCGCTAATAACTGACTACAGTAAGGAATTCTAATTCCTTAAACTCTCCCACCTTCCAAATAAGCTTTCCCTGTACGTAAACGAGTCTCTCCATAACGAGAACACTGTTGATCTTCCGGCCCAAGTAAATCCGACGGCTGAAATTGTCTTCAACAAATTTGAAGAAAGGTTGGAATGCCGGCCGTTGATGAAGTCCGATTTCGATCTGACGGTTGATGATGAACTGTCCCAAATGAACTGAAAGTTGGAATGTGGGCCGTAGATCGAGCGGATGTAGATCTTATCAGAATACTAGGCAGGAATGAACGAACTATGAAAGAGTTGGGTACAAATATAAAACCCTAGAAGGGGCTGTACCCCATATTAGCTACCCCACTACAGCCTAAACATATATGGCATATATATAGTTTACCACACCCCCATAGGCAAAGTGGGGGAGAACAAGGGGTCACAAGACCATTCAAGAGAAGCAAAGCAAGCTCAGGGTGGATCACAACGTCACCACACAATCTGAGCAAAAGTAAAGGGCCATAAGGCCAGTCCGCATACAGAGATATAAATGCAACAGCAAAAGTACAGTGATCACTACCTAACAAGTGCATGCATGCAGGTATACAATATAGATCACAGTACAGGCAAGGTCAAGAAGTAAGTGAGTGAGAAGACACAAGAACAAGGCCAAGTGCAGTACAGAAGCGCCGATGGTGACGAGGCGAAAGTGCCTTGGTGAGCACATCAGCAGTGTTGGCCTGAGAGGCCACGTAGGCAAGACGAAGCTGACCACGCTGCTGCAACTCTCGAGCAAGGAAGTAGCGAAGAGTGAGGTGCTTCGTTCTGTGCTCCAGTCTCTGCTCGCAACACAAGGCAAGCATTGCCTTGTTGTCAACGTACAGAACTGGAGGAGAACGAGGCGCCTCGCCCAGGTCGGTCAGCAGGTAGGTGAGCCAGCGAAGCTCCTGTGCAGCCATTGCCCCTGCGTATATCTCGGCCTCACAACTGGAGCTAAGAATAGAAGCAAGCGAGTAGATCGCCAAGAAAGAGAACTGGAGCCAAGGCTGAAGGTGTAACCCTATGACGACCGCTGCGTAGCCAAGTCGTCAACCCAAGAAGCGTCTGCGTGGCCAGTGAGGACAACGGGACCCCGTCCTCCAAGCACGAGCCCCATGCCTGACGTACTGCACAAGTAGCGCATCACCCTCTTAGCTGCCTTCCAGTGCTCTGGATGGTGTCTCCCGGGCACAATGTAGCGTGCCAGGATGCTAAGAGGGTAAGCGAGGTCAGGGCGAGTGCAGGTCATCAGGTACATGAGGCAGCCCACAAGCTCTGGATACGGGCCACTCGGCTCTACGAATTCATTCGAAGGCAGAGCTGAGAGCGAGTGACCAGTAGGCAGAGGAGTGGACTGTGGCGAGGAGTACTGGAAGTCGAAGCGCTAAAGGACCTGCTGCACCATGTGTGACTGGGTCGGAGTGATGGTGTGGCGTGCTCTGTCCCGAGTGATCTGCAAGCCAAGATAGCTGCGCACCTCACCCAGGTCTGTGCACATGTGTCTCGTCTGCAGCTCCGACTTCACTAGAGTCAGTGCCTTAGTGTCAGCAGTAGCAAAGACCAAGTCATCAACGTACACGAGGATGTAGAACGGCGGCATCAAAGTGTCGGTGCGCACAAACAGCGACGGGTCAGAAGTAGAAGGAGCAAACCCAAGAGCCGCAAGTGTAGTCCTCAGTGTGTCGTGCCACTCACGAGGTGCCTGGCAGAGACCGTAGACTGGCCGCTAGAGGCTCCACTGGGTACCAAGGGGAAACGACCCAGTGAAGCCAGGTGGGCGGCGCAGCCAGATCTCCTCGTGCAGGCTGCCCTGTAGAAAGGATGTGCTGAAGTCAAGAGAGTGAAGCTCGTAGTCACGCTGAGCAGCGACGTGCAGCAGCACCCAAAGAGTGGTCATCTTCGGGGTGGGAGAGAAGGTCTGAAAGTAGTCAACTCCCTGCCGCTGACTGAAGCCTTGAGCCACGTAACGCGCCTTGAAGACAGGCGGAGAACCCGGCGGCCGCTTCACCCTAAAGATCCACATGTCATCAACAATGTTCGCCACAGGTGGGGGAACCTCGTCAACGTAGGTGCCTGTAGACTTCCAGGAAGCCATCTTTGCATCCATGGCTGCCTGCCACTGAGAGGAGTAGGGACCCTCAACCGCCTCTGCGTAAGAGCGCGGAGTCGGGATGTTTAGTGCATCCGGGTCTCCCTCAGGGGCAAGCAGCATGGACACGAGATGAGGTGAAGTAGCAGCCAAACACTGGAAGTCCTCCTGCCTATCCTCAAGGACGTCAGTGCCAACGGCACACTCACCCCCGACGGACGGAGGACAGACAGACTCAGACTCAGCAACAAGACTAGCAGCGTAGTCTAGACGACAGCAAGCAGCAAAGTCAACAAGCTCAGCAACAAGAGCAGACGCAGCAGCAGACTCAAAGGAAGGGTCAGTGACAACTGTGGCAAGGAGACGCGTGATCGTAGGACTAGTAGCACGAAGGGAGTCAGACTCCGGGTCAGCAAGGGCAAGAAGAGAGGACGCAGGCGGAGACGGGAGAGGGACACGCTGCGGAGCAGTGGAAGGACGCAGAGTCATCCGGTGCGTGCCAGCGACAGGAGGAGGACGCAAACTACGACGACTGGCGCGAGCTGCACGAACAGGCGACGCAAGACGAGACGTAGGTGTCAGAATGTTATTCTTATGTTCTAGCCTGTAGTGGGGTGCTCTATAGCGAGTACAACCCTTCTAGGGTTTGCTATTTGTATCCCCATTTCTGCTAGTTCAACCCTCTTTCTTTCTTCTAATTTTGTCATGCTATCAGAGCACGTCGATCCCCTTGGATCGATCCTGTGGGTGGGTTACCACCTCGCTTCCGCTGCTACTTTTTCCTCCCGCCGTGCGCCCCGAGGCGCGCGGCGGTTTTCTGCCCGCCGTGCGCCCCGAGGCGCGCGGCGGTTCTTTGCCCGCTGTGCGCCCCGAGGCGCGCGGCGGGCTTCTGCCCTACGTCGCGGCCCCCCCCTGCGTCGCGGCCCCGCCCCTCGTCGCAGCCCCGCCCCGACCGTCGCGGCCCCGCCCCTTGACGCGGCCCCGCCCTACGTCGCGGCCCCGCCCTGCGTCGCGGCCCCGCCCCTCGAAGCGGCCCCGCCCTACGTCGCGGCCCCGCCCCGAACGTCGCGGCCCCGCCCCTCGACGCGGCCCCGCCCTACGTCGCGGCCCCGCCCTGCGTCGCGGCCCCGCCCCTCGAAACGGCCCCGCCCTACGTCGCGGCCCCGCCCCGACCGTCGCGGCCCCGCCCCTCGTCGCGGCCCCGCCCTCCATCCAGGCCCGTGGTGGGCCCCTTTCACCACACCCCCTTCCCCCCCCCCCCCCCCACCCCCCCCCCCCTTTTCCCGTCGTCTGTCGAGGCGACCTGAGGGGGGCCGCTTGCTGTGGGGTGGCGGGTATGGGGGTGGCCGGTGTTCCTTCCTCCCTTTGCTCCTCCTCCTCCTTCGTCTCCCACTGCTGCAGCTGTCGCTGAGGGGGGTGGATCTGTGGGAGACTGGGTTTAGGGTTTAAGGGGGGTGCGTGGGAGTAGAGCTAGCGGTGTAGCAGTGGGTGTGTATCAGGGGGGGTGGGACTGTGTGCGGGAGGATGAGCGGAGGTTGCCAGTTTGTCGTCAGCAGCACCTGTAGTCCGGGGCGCTGTCCCGGTAGCCCAGTGAGCTTGTCGCTGAGCCAGTCGCCTGTGGGTCCGTTGCCCGTCTGCCGCTACTTGAGCCGCGGGGCCTGTTACTCCTGTAGTCCGGGCGCTTAGTCCGGTAGCCACTGTGCTCGCCACTCCTGTTGCCCGTGTGTCTGCAGCTTCAGCCGCCGCCTTCTATCTCCTCTCCTCTCACTCTCCCTCCTCCTCCTCACCTGCCCGTTGTGACCACCACTAGCTTTGCTAATAATTGTGCACTCTAAACTATTTCTTCTTGAACTTGTGCTCAGAATGTGTGGTGACATTGTGATCCACCCTGAGCTTGTACTGCTTTGCCTACTCTGCTGATTACACCCCACTTTGGCTATGGGGGTGTGTCAGAATGTTATTCTTATGTTCTAGCCTATAGTGGGGTGCTCTATAGCGAGTACAACCCTTCTAGGGTTTGCTATTTGTATCCCCATTTCTGCTAGTTCAACCCTCTTTCTTTCTTCTAATTTTGTCAGTAGGCTCACGACGCTCAGCAAGACCTCCTGTCGGACCAGCGTAAGGAGGCAGAGCAGGCAGTGGGGAGGTGGGCTGTAGCTGTGACTGCGACAGGACAGGCGGTGAACACTCTAAGGAAGGGGGTGGACTAGGAGAAGACGGGAGACCAAGAACCTGCTCAAGGAGCGGAACGAAGTACGGCCGCGGCCGCTCAGCACCCTGAGAACCAGCAGGAGCACCAACAGCAGCTCCAGCAGCTCCACCAGCAGCTCGAGTAGTACCTTCAGCAGCTCCAGCACCAGCGGCTCCACCAGCAGCACCACCAGCAGCACCAGCAGCTCCACCAGCTCTTCCGGCAGCTCCAGCAGCACCTCCAGCAGCTCCAGCACCGGCGGCTCCACCAGCTCCACCAGCTCCACCGACAGCTCCAACAGCACCTCCAGCAGTCCCAGCACCAATAGTACCAACAGCAGCACCACCACCAGCTCCACCAGCTCCACCAGCTCCACCGGCAGCTCCAGCAGCACCGTCAGCAGGTCCAACACCAGCAGCACCACCAGCAGCACCCCCAGAACTAGAACCAGCAGCTCCAGAGTCTCTAGCTCCAGTACCTCCAGCAGTCCCACCCCCAGACCCGGTACCTCCAGTACCAGAGCCTACAGCAGGACCTCCTCCACCACCACCGGCCCCGGCAGCTCTAGTACCTCCAATACGAGCACCTCCAGGGCCTGTGGTGTTAGCAGCACGAGGGTCGCCAGCTCTAGCTGCAGAACCGCGAACTCCAGGACGCCTCCACAGTCGCTGACAAACTGCAAACCACTCTCGCAGCTCCTCTGGTGTAAGGGGCCGGCGAGAAACCGGTCCAGCACCCTCCAGCGCAGTGCGCCCAGGCTCTGCACCCTCCAGGACCTCACGCACCGACACAGAACCCCTAGGCTCCGCACTCTCCAGCACCTCACGCTCCGGCTCGGCACCCCCAGGCTCCGCACTCTCCAGCACCTCACGCACCGGCTCAGCACCCCCAGGCTCCGCACTCTCCAGTACCTCACGCCGTGGCTCAGCACCTCCAGACGCAGCACCTCGAGCAGTACCACCCTCAGCAGCACCTGAGTCGCTAGTGACCTCGTCAAGCTCAGCTAAGGGAGGTGGGTATACCTGAGACACACCTGAAGGAGCAGGACCTTGGGGGGGGAGGGGGTCTACCGGAGGGGGACCTGGAGCGAGGAAGAGCGGCGGGGGAGGGAGAGGGGCAGTGTGGTAGGGAAAGAGGCGGTAGAAAGGGACTGACTCGTCAAAGGTGACGTCTTGAGAAGACAGGACAGTGCGCGAGGCGGGGTGGTAAAACTGCCAGCCAGGCGCGTCAGTCAGAAAGCCGAGGAAGACACAGGGAAGGGTGCGGGAGGAGAGCTTGTCCGCGGACGTATCGCGAACAAGAGCACGGGCACCCCAGACCCGGAACACCGACGCATCACCAACCTCCCCCGTCCACCTCAGTGTGGGCGAGGTCTCTGGAACTGAGACACGGGGCCAGAGGTTGAGCTGTTGTGCGGCGTACCGGACCGCAAACGGCCACAGAAAATGGGGAGCCGCCACATGGATCAAGGAGGTACGAGCGATCTCCATGACCATGCCAATGTGGCGCTCAGCAACCCCATTTTGCTGCAGTGAGCTCGGAAGCGTGTAAGACTGGGTGATGCCCTCCTCCTGACAGAAGCTGTGCAAGAGGTCGGAGGCGAACTCTCCGCCCCTCTCAGAGTGCAGACGCAGAACAGGGAGGTCGGTCTGAAACCTCCTACGTAGCTGTAGACGAACCGCTCGGATCCAAGGGATCAGGACAGCACGGGCCTCACCCTTGGTGCGCAAGGGGAAGACCGTGGTGTAACGCGAGAAGTCGTCAACTACCAGCAAGAAGTACCGCTCTCCACCCCGTCCGCTGACGCGGGCGGGGACCCCACACGTCCATGTGGAGAGTCTGCAGCGGAGCCTCTGTCGGAGGAAACGAGGAGGAGTGAGGAGCGGCGTGCTACCGCCCCTCGACGCAAGGAAGGCAGGCAGGGGCAGGCAAAGCAAGGAGGGGAGGCAGGGTCCGAGGAAGACCGGACACAAGGACGCGACGGTGCATGTCTCTAAGACGGGGCAGGGAGGGGTGGCCCAGACGGTGGTGCCAGAGAATGGTCTGGTGCGACAGAGAGCGACACGAGCAAGGGGAGTCTAGCTGCCCTGATGCAGACGCCTGACCGACAGCAGCGACCTGGGGAGACACAGTGGTCAGTGTGTAAAGGCTCGACCCTGGCGCACACATGAACATGGCCAGGTCTCGCCCAGTCTTGGAGCACGTACAGATCGCCACACGCTGTCCTCCAGGGGTGAAGGTATCAACCCAGTGGTCCTGAAGGACAGCGTTGCTCACCAAGTTCGTAGAGAACGAGGGGAGGTGGAGACCTGACAGCGAACCAGACAGGACCGCTGGGCAAGGAAGCACAGTGGTAGACCGTGCAAGGACTGGACCCCCTGAAGGGTCAGCCAGGGAGACTGCAACTGGTGCAAGGAGCGGTGTGAGGGCTGTGTTGTCACGGAAGAAACACCTGGAAGCACCTGAGTCAAGAGTGAAGGTGTGCAAGGCGGTAGGAGGTGCAGTACCGGACAACGCAGACTCACCCGCACCTAAGGCAACAGACGCGGTACCTGAAAGCGCAGACTCGCAAGCACCAAGAGCCGCAGACTCTATACCTGGATCAGGCAGCAGACACAGGTAGCAGTCACCCTCAGCACTAACAGACAATGCATGCATGTTAGCAAGAATAGCATCATAGTCAAGAGCAAAAATGTCTAACCCTTCTTAAGCAGATCAAACCAGCGAGGGGTCTCAACCTCTGCACCCATCTCCTCACGCCAGGCGTCGTCAAGGCGGGAGAAGTAACGCTGCTGGGGGTGGGGCTTGCCGCATGTCTGACCAGCACGCTCACCGGTGTGAATGACATACGGACAGCGAGTACCCCCAGACGTACCCCTCTGAGCCAACCACTCACGAAGTTGCTGAGGCGTAAGGGACCGCTGCTGCTACTGTCTCTGACCAGCGCCTCCACCACGACCGCCACCACCTCCACTGCCTCCACCACTGCCGCTACCGCCACCACCGCCACTCCCACCGCCGCCGCCGCCACCACCACCTCCACCACCGCCGCTGCCACTCCCACCAGCACCCCCGCCGCCACTGCCTCCACTCCCACCGCCACCCCCACCTCCTCCACCTCCTCCTCCGCCGCCACTACCACCACCGCCCTTGCCCCCCTTGCCCTTGCCGTTGCGGCGCCGCCCGGTAGAAGTGGAGGCAGCACCAACCGAGTCGGCTCCAAGGAAGTCTACGACGGCAGCAGTGGCGTAGGAGGGGGCAAGAGGGGAAGAAGCGCACCCCTCAAAGATGGGGGTGCGAGGAGCGCCACGAGCAGCAGCCACACTCACAATGCTGCTCTCAGCGGCTAAGAGGTGCTCCTCTAGGAGGTCTATGGTGAGGTCAGAGGGACAGTGCGCTAGGAAGTGGTCCCTGACTGAGCGAAGGGTGTCTGGGAGGCGGGTCACTATAAAGTGGAGCGTCCAGTACATCGGAGGGGGGTGCTGGGCAACAAAATCCTTGCAGAGTGTGGCACGGATACGAGTGTCACTAGAGCAAAGGTGGGTGATGAGGTCAGCTACAGTGGCAAAGCTCGACAGCTCGGGGAACAGGTACGGCAGCATGAGATGGCTGAGCGCAGCAGTGGCAGGGGAGGAGTAGCGAGCGACTACAGCGTCGTACAGGGCCTTAGCAGTTTTGTGCTCGCCAAAGTGTTTGAGTTCCGCTAGCGGCAGGTGGTTGCGAATAGCAAGGCGGGTAGCATCATCGCATGTCAGCCACTGAGAGCGCTCGCTAAGGGCAGCTGTGTCAGCAGGAGCGGCTAGGGCACCGGAGGTGTGGTCAAAGAGGGAGATCTCGTCTTTGCTGATGCTAATGAGGTAGAGCTGCAGGTCATCTAGCCCGGCGTCGAACTCTACCGGGCGGCCCTCAGTGTCGAAGGAAAGAACACGAAGAGTGGCCATAGTGCTTGGAGGGCGCGCTAGCACAGGTAACGTGTCAGGCAGAGCGCGCGGCAACAGGGAGCGCGACGAGCAAGGCGTGCAACACAGCACGGCGGCCGGCGCGGCAGTAGGGCGCGCGACGCAGCAAGGTGGGCGAGGCGGCAACAGGCACGCGTCGCAGCACGGCGGGCGAGGCGGCAGCAGGCGCGCGACGCAGCAGGGCGGGCGAGGCGGCAGCAGGCACGCGACGTAGGGCGGGCGAGGCGGCAGCAGGGCGCGCAACGCAGCAGGGCGGGCGTTGCGGCAGCAGCGCGCGCGACGCGGCAGGGCGGGCGTCGCGGCAGCAGCGCTCAACGCGGCAGGGCGGGCGTCGCGGCAGCAGCGCGCGCGACGCGGCAGGGCAGGCGACGCGGCTGAAGGGCGCGCGACGCGGCGGGCGGGCGACGCGGCAGCAGCGTGCGCGACGCTGCTGGGTGCGCGACGCGGCAGCAGGGCGCGACGCGGCCGAAGGGTGCGACGCAGCTGAAGGGTGCGACGCGGCAGTAGGGCGCGACGCAGCAGCAGGGCGCGACGCAGCAGTAGGGCGCGACGCAGCAGCAGGGCGCGACGCAGCAGCAGGGCGCGACGCAGCAGCAGGGCGCGACGCAGCAGCATGGCGCGACGCGATAGTAGGGCCCGCTTGGGGCGACAGTAGGGCGGGCGACTCGAAAAAAAAAGGGACGGTGGGCCCACAGAGTTAGGTCCTCGGGACTGTCAGAACATTATAGCTTATGCTTCTGTTTAGGCTGTAGTGGGGTAGCCGATATGGGGTACAACCCAGGTAGGGTTAGTACTTGTACCCAACTGTTTCATAGTTCATTCATTCTCGTTTCAGTTTTCTCATGGTATCAAGCAGGTTCCCTCGTGGGAACTGTTCCTAGGGCCCACCAACTCGATATTTTTTTTTTCCTGCCCGGAGCGCGCTCAACCCTAGCCCGAGTCGCGCTCCCCTTCTCGACCCCGTCGCGCCGCCCTTGCGGCCCCGATCAGTGGCCCTAGCGGCCCCGTCGCCTACCTCGCGGCCCTCGCGCCGCCCTTCCTGGCCCCGACCCGCCGCCCTGCGGCCTCATCGCCTACCCCGTGGCCCTCGCACTGCCCTCTCCCGGCCCCGATCCGCCGCCCTGTGGCCTCGTCGCCTGCCCCGCGGCCCTCGCGCCGCCCTGCGGCCCTACCGCCGCCCTTACCTGCGGCCCCGGCGCCTACCTGCTGGCCCCGCCACCTACCTGCGGCCCCGCCACCTACCTGCGGCCCCGCCGCCTTTACCTGCGGCACCGGTGCCTACCTGCTGGCCCCGCCACCTACCTGCGGCCCCGCCACCTACCTGCGGCCCCGCCACCTACCTGCGGCCCCGGCGCCTACCTGCGGCCCCGACGCGTACCTGTGTGACCCCGGCGCCTACCTGCTGGCCCCGCCACCTACCTGCGGCCCCGCCACCTACCTGCGGCCCCGCCACCTACCTGCGGCCCCACCGCCCTTACTTGCGGCCCCGGCACTGCCTCTGCCGGCCTCGCCGCCGTCCCATCACGGCCCCGCCGCCACCACTACGGCGCAGCCGCCGTAGCCTGTTGCAGCGCCGCCCGCCACCCGAGCCACCCAAGCCGCCACGCCCAGCCGAGCAGCCGACCGCCGCGCCGCCCTGCAGCCGAACCGCCGAGCCGCCCAGCCGCCGAGCCGCCCTGCAGCCAAGCCGCCCAGCAGCCGAGCAGCCGAGCCGCCAAGCCGCCGAGCCGCCGAGCCGCCCTGCAACCGAGCCGCCGAGCCGCCGAGTCGCCCTGCAGCCGAGCCGCCCGAGCCGCCCTGTCCGGTAAGAGCAGCGCCTCTGTCATTGCACTGCCCTCACCCTACTAATTGCGCTGCTAGTCTACTGCTGTCATGGCTACCCCTAGCGTCAAAAGCTTTTGACCCTCAGGTCATCTATCCAAGCGTCAAAGTCAATGACCCTCGCTTTTGACGCTGAGGGTCGGGCCATTGACTTTGACGTCTGGTTAGATGACCTGCAGCTTTTCTTACAGTGCGATATGGCAGACGGTCTCTCTCTCTTTGACCTCACCTTTGGTGCCTCTCCTGCCCCTGCTGCTGATGCTGATGCCACTGTTCGCTCACAGTGGGCCACGCGCGATGCTGCTGCACGTCTTGCTGTGCGTCGCCACCTGCCTACCTCTGAGCGTGCGCACTTTAGCCAGTACAAGAGTGCTCAGACCTTGTACGACGCTGTAGTTGCACGCTACTCCTCCCCTGCCACTGCTGCACTGAGCCGCCTCATGCTACCGTACCACTTCCCTGACCTTGCTGCCTTTCCCACAGTCGCTGACCTCATTACGCACCTCCGCACTAGTGACACTCGCTACCGCGCTGCGCTTCCTGCGGAGTTCTGCGCCAAGAACCCCCCCCCCCATGTACATCACTCTCTACTACATAGTCACCCATCTCCCTGACTCCCTTCGCGTGGTCAGGGACCACTTCCTCTCAGTCTGTCCCACCACTCTCACTGTTGACCTACTCGAGAAGGCCCTCTTAGCAGCGGAGAAGAGCATAGTCGCTGTAGGAGCCTCTTGTGGTGACCCGCGCACCCCCATCTTTGAGGGGTGTTCCCCCTCCCCCCTTTTGCCCTCTGTTGCCTCTGCTGTTGCGGCCGACCTCGTTGGGCTTGAGTCGGTCGGTGCGGCGTCTACCCCTAGAGGGAGACGCCGCCCTGGCAAGGGCAAGGGGGGCAGGGGCGCTGGAGGAGCTAGCAGGGGCGGTGGAGGCGGCGGTGGAGGCGGCGAAGGGGGTGGGGGTGGTGGTGGGGGTGGTGGCGGGGGTGGATGTGTCGGTGGCGGCAGTGGCGGCGGAGGCGGCGGTGGTGGCAGTGGGAGCGGAGGTGGCGGGGGTGGCGGTGGTGGAGGAGGCGGTGGCGGAGGAGGTGGAGCTGGTCGGGGTGGCGCTGCGCAGAGGGTCGGCTCTGGTGGTGGTCAGCGCAAGCAGCAGCAGCAGCGCACTCGTGACATCCCCCCCCCCCCTCCCCCTCAGCAGCTCCGTGAGTGGTACGCTGCACGCCAGCGGGGTGGGGGTACTGGTCCGTACACCTACGTCCTACGCACCGTCGACCACGCGGGTGAGCAGTGTGGGGGTGCGCACCCCACCCAGCACTGCTTTGGCCGCCTGACGGACGCTTTGCGTCACCAGTTTCCGGAGGCCACGGAGATCCCCCGCTGGGGTGAGCTGTCTAGGGCCGGAGTAGCTATCTTTGATCTTGACTTTGATGCTATCCTTGCTGCCATGTATGATGTGACTATTAGTGATGAGGATGACTGTTACCAGTGTTTCCCGCCCGACCAGGGCATTGAGACTGCTGCTCTAGGTACTAGTGAGGCTGCTGCTCTAGGTGCCAGTGCGTCTGCTCCCTCAGGTGCTGGTGAGTCCGCGCTCTCAGGTACCAAGTCAGCTTCGGCCTTCCTCACCTTCACCCTTGACTCGGGGGCTTCTTGCTCCTTCTTCCGAGACCGCACCACACTCACGCCGCTTGGTCGGCCAGTTGCGGTCTCTCTGGCAGACCCCTCTCGGGGTCCTTTCCTTGCTCACTTCTCCACTGTCCTCCCGTGTCCGGCGGCTCCCTCTGGCACCCTGTCTGGTCTTTACCTCCCCTCGTTCTCTACGAAGTTGGTGAGTGGTGCTGACCTTCAGGATGGGGGAGTCCACCAGTTCACTCCTGCGAGCCAGCAGGTGACCCACTACACGGACGCTCGGACGGGCCGACACTTGGCCACGTTTACTCGTCGGCCGGGGTCGAGCCTGTACACACTGACCACTACGTCCCCTTCTGTCCCTGCGTCTGGCCAGGTAGCTGCGTCGGGTCAGGTGTTTGCTGCAGAGTCCAGGTCTGGTCCTGAGTCTGCCCCCTGCTCGTGTCGCCTCCTTTCTCACGAGACTCTCCTCTGGCACCACCGCCTTGGTCACCCCTCCCTGCTTCGTCTCCGAGGCATGGCCTCCCGTCTCCTTGTCTCTGGTCTTCCCCGGTCCCTCCCTCCCCTTCCTCCGGGGCCTGGCCCTACCTGCGTCCCCTGTGTCGAGGGGCGCCAGCGCGCTGCCCCTCACTCCTCCTAGTTTCCTCCGACAGAGGCCCCGCTGCAGACGCTTCACCTAGACGTGTGGGGCCCCGCTCGCGTCCGTGGACAGGGTCACGAGCGCTACTTCCTGCTGGTGTTTGACGACTACTCACGTTACACCACAGTCTTCCCCTTGCGCAGCAAGGGTGATGTCACTGAGGTGCTGATCGACTGGATCCGCGCAGCTCGTCTCCGGCTCAGGCAGAGCTTTGGCTCAGACTTTCCTGTTCTGCGTCTACACTCTGACAGAGGCGGAGAGTTCTCCTCTGGCCTTCTGCGAGCCTACTGTCGTGCACGAGGCATCCGCCAGACCTTCACGCTTCCAGACTCACCACAGCAAAATGGGATTGCTGAGCGCCGCATTGGCATGGTCATGGACGTCGCTCATACGTCCATGATGCATGCGGCTTCCCCCCACTTTCTGTGGCCGTTTGCGGTCAGGTACGCGGCGCATCAGATCAACCTCCACCCCAGGGTCTCCCGGCCGGAGACCTCCCCAGCCTTGCTGTGGACGGGGAAGGTTGCGTTTGTTCGCGACTTGTCTGCGAACAAGCTGTCCCCTCGTGCTGCTCCCTGCGTCTTCCTGGGTTTCCCCCCTAACGCGCCAGGGTGGCAGTTCTACCACCCCACCTCTCGTCCTCCCAGGACGTCACGTTTGACAAGTCGGTCCCCTACTACCGTCTCTTCCACTAGCGCACTCCGTCCCTCCCCCCGCAGCCGCTCTTCCTTGTACCAGGTCCCCCCCAGGTACACCCCCTCTCCCCTCAGGGTCCAGCCCCTTCAGGTGTGTCCCAGGTAGACGCATTCGAGCCTGTCGAGGTCACTGGTGACTCTGGTGCTGCTTAGGGTGCTGAGCCTGGGGGTGCTGACTCTGAGGGTGCTGAGCGTGTGCGTGCT